GGCGACCGCCCGCCTGGCCCCTCCTGCCCCACCGGCACGGCCAATCGAAACCCAGCCGGAAGTGACGCAAGCTGCGCCTCCTCCTCGCGTTCGGGAGTAGGCAAGTTCGGGCGGCCACGCCTGGGTGGTCGCGCCGCGCCGGGAACCGTTTAAGTGGGGTGCAGCAGATGGGGAACGCTGCCACCAGGTGGTGATCTGGAACCGTGACCCTGAGGCTTCAGAACCGAAGGAAGGGTGAGGCTTTGGAGAACAGTTTAGACGGCTAACAAGAGATACAGAAATTTTCGGTGATTCTGCCTAGTGAGCTGTTGAAGGTACTGCAGCCAACAAGGGATCCTTTTACAGATGAGGGCAGGGAACCACAGCCTCTTCTGGAAAGTTAAGAGGATGCTTACTGGTCAAAACCTCCAGTAGACACAAAGCCTCCTGGGTGCCTGACTGCTTCTGCAGCAAACCCTCCCAGATGGTCAGTCTCTTGGCCAAGGCCCCAGACCTATTTATTTGGAGAGGAGCCATGAAACAGTGGCAGGTTAGAGTCCAGGGATCCAAACTAATGCTTTGTTTCAGAAGAAAACACTTCTCTACCATTACTGAGGCCATGCCCTGCCGGGGTCACTGCTTAGGTGTGGTAGATAGCCAAGGGCTGGTGGGGCCACAGAAAGCGAGACTAAAAACTGGGGGCGAGTTTAGCACCAGAGACAAGAATGGATTATGAGAGTAAGGAGCCAGCTGGCAGCCACAGCAAGGTCTCATTGTGGAGGAAGGATCCCGATGCACACAACCTAATTCTGTGACCAGTTCTGATGCAGCAAACTCCCAGCTCGCACCACGAGTGCTTAGTTCACAAGGGAATATCCTGGGCCTAATGTACCAACACAATAGGCCTCCACTAATACATTGGCACCTGCTCAACAGCATCTGCTCTGGTTGTCAGAACTGTCACCAAGTTTGGGACAAGATGCCATGGGCTATGGCCAAACAGGAAGCCCATTTGTTGACAAATTCCTGGTCCTTCCACGGGATAGCTTCCCTGCTCAACCTGTGGCTTTAGGAGCACCACTCACCCCAAAACTTCCATTTACCTAGATCTGCCCAGTGCTCAGGACAAGGTGTGAACACAGGTGTGAGGGCAGCAGGAACCAAGGCATGATGGGACCCAGCACCCCCTCCTCTCCAGAGCTCCCTCCGCTCACTGGCATGTCTACTCCACCTCCCCGCTCCCTATACCAGGAGCACCATGGTGGTCTTCCCAACAGGACCCTTCCCATTGAAACCACGGGCAAGCACAGTTCAGTGGCGGAAGAAGTTTTATTGAGCCCCCAGCCCTAGTTCTCTTTCTCCTGCACAGTCTTGGTTCCCCGCAGACGCCCAGTCCGGCGGGCAGCGATGAGACCCACTTTGCGGCCAGCAGGGGCGTCTCTGCGGATGGTGGAAGGTTTGCCTATGTGCTGGTGGTTGCCACCTCCAAATGGATGCTCCACAGGCTGCAAGCAGAGGGAGGTGGTGTTAATGTGGGGTGGCCGCAGCCACCTCAGGAGGGCTTGGGGGAGGGGGTATCAGCTGGCCCACACCTACAAAACTTCACCCAGAGGCTCACACCACAGATCACCCACCAGAGGGGAGAGGACATTCCAGAAATGCCCCTCTAGCCTCAAGTCCCGGCACCCCGCATATCCCACTGCCTACTTCTGGACTACTTACGTTCATAGCCACACCCCGCACACGTGGCCAGCAATTCCTCTTTGCCTTATACTTGTGGTAGGCACGGCCGGCCTTCAGGATGGGCTTGTCAATGCGGCCACCTCCAGCCACCACACCTGTTGGGGAATCAGACCCTTCAGATAGATAAGTACATCACACCCTCCCCAAAACTGCTGGGTCCTTATCAGCACCCCACCTTCTGTACCAGCTTCCTTCTCTCTGTACATATCATCACAGAGTTCCCTAAAGCCCCAGTAACACTATGTAGTCTGGCAACCAACAGCCACGTGTCTCCAGGCTCCATGGAACAGCCAAACCTAGCCTGTACCCACATCACCAGGAATGTCTATTTCAACCCATGGTTCTCCAGTGAAGCATTCTCCCTCTACCAAGTCTGACACTGGGCAGGTCACTCAATTTCTGAACTCCAAGGGGACCACTGAGCCAACAACCTGCCACATTTCTGCCAAGTTCTGCTTATTCTGTGAACATATTTTCAGGAACGTCCCCAGGAAGGGCTGGGTTTGCCACAGGGACTTGAAAGTATTGCCAAACAGCACAGTGAACAAACCTGAGTCCAAATCCTTTTCAATGCACTTACTCGGTGATTTTAAGAAAATCACACATCTCTGAAAAGGACGTTAGGGTGGATTAAGGGGGGGAATGACAGAAGTCCAGACAAGTCTTATCGTTTAATAACCCCGTCTCCTTCAACTCCCAACCAGCAGTGAGGCACTAACACCAAGTCCACTTCCCGAGCGTTACAACTCAGAGACTATACACATGCCCAAGCTTACAGAGCTTACACTTTAGTGGAGCTGGCACTCAGGTTCCAGGGCTCTGGTCTACCTGCTGGCTAATCACAAGCGGCCCACAGCATTCAACTGCTGCCTGCCACTCACCGACCACAGCTCTGTTGGCGGAGGAAATGACCTTCTTGGAGCCCGAGGGCAGCTTCACTCGAGTCTTTTTGGTCTCGGGGTTGTGGGAGATGACGGTGGCATAGTTCCCAGAGGCTCGGGCCAGCTTGCCCCGGTCGCCAGGCTTTTCCTCCAGACAGCATACGATGGTACCCTCGGGCATGGTGCCCACTGGGAGCACATTGCCAATGTTCAGCTGAGCTGCGAGGGGAAGCGGCACGCAGAAGTCAGAGGAGCAAAGTGGTATCTCGACAACTGCTAGCGACAGGCAACGCAAATGCACTCGCTCTGCACAGCGCTCGAGACCCAGCCTCCTCCTACTGCTCTCTGGGCACCCCGATGGGCACGTTCGGCCCAGCAGGGCTCACCAGGTGAGGCTTCTTCCTGGGTGCCTCCCCTGCCCTTACTCAGGGCGAGTCTCCTCGTGCGACCCAGTCCCCACTCCACCGACTTTCCATCCCAGGTGCGAGGCTTACCTTTCTTGCCGCAGTACACGAACTGTCCGGTGTGGATGCCTTCAGCAGCTATGAACAGCTCCGTCCGCTTCTTAAACCGGTACGGATCCCGGAAGACCACCTTGGCGAGGGGCGCGCCGCGGCCCGGGTCATGGATGATATCCTGCGGGCCGAGGCGGCGTGAGCGCGGGGGTTCCCGGGGGCCGCCTGGTACGCCCACCCGCCGCAGACCGCGCCCCGTACCTTCACGATGCCCTTGATGTAGCCGTGCCGCTCGGCGAAGTCCACGGCGCGCAGACGCGCGGCGCCCTTGCGGTGCTTCACGTGCGCGCGGAACACGGAGCCAGCGCCCTTCCTCTGCCCACGGATCACGCGGCCCATGGTGGCAGTCTAGGGGCAGCTCACTGTCAGCGCCCGGGCGGCCCAGGCTCCCCCGCCACCCGGCTTCAGGGCCCTCTTTCCCCAGGCTCCTCCCTCCAGTCCCCGGTCCCCTCCGCGCCGCATCCCCGGCCGTGCGCCTAGGTGTCCTCTCAGGAGTCCGCTTGGGTCCTTCGGGGACGCCAGGGCGGCGGATGGCGGCGGATGGCACCGGGACGGCCGCGACCAAATCGCGTCTTACCTACTGCCTAGCGCGACCGAAAGAGAAGACGCACCGCCCGCGAGCGGCCTTATCTTCCGGGGCCGGGCCAAAGCCACTTGACCTCCCCGGCAGGCGCCGCGGCCGCGAGCGTAGTGCACGCCGGGACCTGTAGTCCTCCCGCGCCGCCGAGCCTCTGCGCAGGCGCACTGGGGGGCTGGGCCCGCTGTACCTGAGAGGTTCGGAAGTCTGGCCAGCCAGCGGCTCTCCCACCGCGGGATCGTCGTGTGGGCGGGCCCTGGAGGAGGGTGGCGGGCGCCCCGCCCTCACGGAGGCCTCCCCAAGACGTTCGAAGACGGCGCCGCGAACTTCACGACAGTGCGGAGTTTCCTGGCCCCCGGCCAGCAGGCGCTGTACAGGGACGCGATGCTGCAGGGCTACGTGCAGGCGGCTTCTGTGAGACGCCTGTTGGTCCTGGCGTTGGGCTCAGAGACAAGCCTGCCTCTTCCACCAGCTGCATCGGGGAGTAGCTTCCTTTCCAAATGTGAGGTCAGACATGTTGGGAGGGGACGCCGAAGGCCACTCTGTCTCCCATGGCCACCTAGCTGCCCCGCTCCTGGGCAAGTAGGTGTTCCCGACCTCCTCCCAGCACCTTCCCGCGCTGCGTGCCCTGAGGCCTCTAGGCAAACAATAGCCTCCTTCCTCCCTCCTGCCCACTAACGCATGCCATTCTGCTCCCTGGGTGTAGGCTTTCCTGTTGCCAGACCAGCGATGATCTCCCTCTTGGAGCAAGGGGTGAAGCCAGGGGCATCGGTTGTGCAGCTGGCTGACAAGCAAGCGAACAAGCAACCAAGGCCAGCCAGCCCAGGTGAGTGCAAGGCACAGGGAGGCCTGGCCCTCACACAGCCTCTTGCAGGCCCTAGGTGCTCACGCAGTCATTTGGCCCCTCATTGCAGGGCCACATTTCCTACCAAATGCCTTCATTGTAGTCCAAGGTCACCCAGAACTGACTTGTCCAAGGAGACCAAGTACGTGAGCTCCCATACTGCTGGTCCCCAAGGACCAGCTCTGGGAACAGTGGGTGTGTGAGGAGGGTGCTCTGATCCTCCCTGTCCCCTGTGGCTGGCATGCCAGGGCTTGGCTTGGGGCTGGAGAGGGGGCCTGCACAGGCAGGACCCCGCTGTGTCCTGAATGAATGAGCTGCGGGTGAGTGCTCCGAGGGAGAGGGGAGCAAAGGATGAGGCACCCCACATCTTGTAGGTCTTCCTCCTGCACCCAGCCCACCCCCACAATCCTTAGACCAAGCGGGTGCCCTCCCCCTCCTGCCCCTCACCCGCCTCTCCAGCATGATCCTTCCTTGTTCTGTTTATTCTTCCAGATTCCAAGAGAGGCAGGAATCAAGCAATCCTCTCTCAAGAGAGTGTCCTCTAAGCAGGCAGGACTGTGGGGCCTGGTTGAGGGGTGCCTTCCCCAGGGGACCCAGAGTTATCAACTGAAGGGCAGGCCTGAGGGTGGGTCAGATCAGCGGCCCCTCAGGCCCACGGCCCTTGAGTGCATTCCCCTTCGGGGCCCCTTTAAGGGACAGGGCGTACAGGTGTGCCAGTGCCTGGCCAGGGGATGCTGGGAAGTCGCTTGGATGGACTGAGACAGAGCAGGAGGGGGGGTGGTGGCTGGTGTCAGGACTCGGACAGGCTCCCCAGCAGCACCTCTGGAGCCCCAGCCAGGCTGGGTGTGACCTGCCTTCACTGGCTTGTTGGCAGAAGGTACTCACTGGGGAGACACCCCGCCCCCCAGGGCCTGCTGTCCATGGAGGCCATCTTAGCAGCCCCTCCTCTCCATCAGCCTCCCCGCAACACCAAGAACTCTGACAGGCTTCTGTGGCATGGTACAAGACGTGTGTTGGGGAGGGAGCTGCAAGCCCTGAGCCAAGCTGAGGGCATGATCTGTGATTGTGTAGCTTTTAATCAACACACTTTTTTCCCTAAACATAAAGTTAATGTATAGAGGGCTAGAAAAATGCAGAAATCTTAAAACAAGGAATGTAAGAAATTGCCATTTGTCTCACTCTCTAGAAATCGATGCCGTGATTTTGGTGTATTTTCTTAGACTCTTTCTAATGCACGTGTATAGTTACTGTTTTGCCAGTTGGGGTTTTACGTTCCTTAGTATTTTGTACCTACTGCTTGGACGATGTCCATGTATGTCTGCCACCTTATATGGTTTATTTAGCAGCTCTCTCATCAGTTGTCAGATCTCATATTCCCCACATTTTCACTTATCGTTGACCCCACAGCAACGTGTGCATGTTTGCTTATATTCAAGACTACTTCTTAGGGGTTGAGTTGGATTTTCCAGGTCCAGGGTACTCGGGGAGGGGAGAGTCTGTTATTAATCATGAAAAATGCCACTCTCTTTTTTATTTGTGTTTCTTGGCCATTCCCAGTACGCTCTTGCACCACTGTTACTGGGTTTACCAGACCTCCCTGTTGAATTCCAACCCCTTTCCCTTCAATATCTCCATCCCCTCCGTTGCAATGCGACCACAGGTGTTGGGAGAGAGCTGCATGAGAATTGAGGCTGTGATATGTTACAATTATTTCCCCAGTTCTTTCTTCACTTTTAAGGTTTTTATAAGGTTTTTAATACAAAAATACATTTCCCCTGCAGCCAAGACCATCTGTTCTGATATAATTACAAAGGCCTTTCACACTCCAAAATTTTATAAAATTTTCTTTACTTTGGTTAAGTTGCTGAAGTAACACCTTTATTTATTTATTTAAATCCCCACAGCACCTGGTATTCCTAGATGGTCTCCCATCCAAGTACTAATCAGGCCCGACCCTGCTTAGCTTTGGAGATCAGACGAGATCGGACACGTTCAGGGTGGCATGGCTGTAGACAACACATGTTTATAGTACAACAACAAAACCTCAGTAGAAATAGGAAAAGCCCCTCTCCTTTCTTTTCTCCTTTCTCCCCCTCCCCAGCTCCCAGACACACCCCCGTGAATAGTTTGGGTGGCTAACTCTGGCTTTTTCCTCTGCATTTCAAACACTCAATATACTTGTGCCTTCATTTTTACAAACAGGTTTCTCTCACACGTGTCTGCAATGGCTTTGATGTATCTACTTGCTGGGCTGAATTGTGGCCACCAGAATTCTCTCTGGTGGATTCTGGAGAAACAGTTATGAGGAAGGAAAGGGGGGTGACAGCAGATTGTAGCTCGCACACCTTCTCCCCAGTAGTCAGATGCTGACGTAGGTGCTGCTGTGAAGGGATTTTGCTGATGTGGTTAACAGACCAACCAATCGACTTTAAGTTAAAGGGAGATGATCCTGGTGGTCCTGACCTAATCAGTCAGAAGGCTTTTAAAAGCTTAGGCTTCTCTGAGACCCCTGCCTGTGGAGAAGCATCAGCTGGTGCTCTTGCCCTTCTGAGGCACTGCTCTGAGGACCTGGAATTTGTTTAGCAACCCTCATGATTGCAGCTGCTTACCTCCTACTGGTTCTGCTTCTCAGGTGGACCCTGACTGAACCACGACTTTCTGCACCTTGGCTTTTCCACAAGTACATGAAAGTGTCCTTCCACGCAGGGATGAGCAGGGCGTTCATCCCTGTTAGCGTTCTCTGTAAACTTGAAAGCCAAAGGTTGAGACGCTGGTTCTTTTCTCAGGACTGGAGTTTTTGCGAGGTTTCAGTGTCCAGGTGATTCCAGGTCCCTGACCTCACTCCCTTCCCACCCTCCAGTCTCCTGCGGGGGCTTCCGTTGGCCCAACGGAACTGAAAGTCTGAAGTCATGGAAGTCCATTGACAGTGGACCTGGGCGGAGATGGGGTGCAGAGGTGGGAGAGGAGTGGACCTGGAGCAGCAAGCGTGAGCGGGATGCATCCCCTCGCCTGACCAGCATGCTCTCCCAACGCTGCTCGCTGTGCTCTCGTTAACTTTGAACCCGCTGCGCCATACTGCACACCGCTCCTCCAACTGCGGGTCTGAAAGTTAGCCCTTGCTCTATAAGCTGTCGTCCTGCGAAGACTCCAGGGGAAAAGTAAGAAAATAGTCTGGTTTCCGGAATGCCACGTGAAAGTTCCCTTAGGCTGCCTGACATTCTCTCCGTGTCCCCGAGTTCCTGCACTCCACATAGGGCCTGAACAGAGCCGTGTTCCGACCCTGCACCTTGTCCTCCCTCTGGGGCGGGACGCCGCCCAGGCTGCAGGCGCTGTCCGCAGTGCTGAAGGCCCAGCGGCGAGGAGGCCAGTGGTGTGGTACCACACAGTGTGCGCCGGGGCCGTCGCCAGGGTCTTGCGTTCTCAAAGTGCAAAGCAAGAGAGTGTTCGGGTGATTCCGTGCGGAAGGTGAGTGGAGAGAACTGGGGTTTTCCTCTGCTGGCACGTGGTCCTGTGGCACCCCAGCTCTCGGGAGAGTGGAGGTCTCAAGGCCACGGGAGCGACCAGCAACGCCTCCTGCCCGCCCCCATTGCTCTGTCCCGACATTCCCCTGAGAGCCTGTCTGTGGTGCAGCTAGGACCCGTCACGACCTCCTCGCCTTTCCCTGCCTGTGGATTCCAGTAATGGATTTTGAAACCTGTTCCTCGCGGAAACTATAAATCAGAGCCTCAAAAAGAAGCTGCACAGGTGCTCTGCTGCCACAATGTCTCGGGGTTCTGGGAATGGCTGCTCACAAACCAAGTTCCTGAGCCCCTCCCCACAATATGGTTGAATGTGTGACAAAGAATGACGCCCACCTCAATTCTCCCCAGTGTCCTGTCCCAGACTCACTCATATCAGTGTGTCTTATTTCATCACTTTCCTCCTTGGGAAGGACTCCTGCTTTGCTATAGGAGGTGCCCCGCCTGGGACCTGACCTTGTGTTCCTGCACTTGAGCAAACAGAGGCTCCAAAGTCACTCCCTCAAGAGCCATCCCCACCCAGCTGTACAGGCTTGGGGTATTTAGAGATGCTTTGTCCGTATCAGTCCCCACTGGGGTAAACAAAACCGGGAGACACAGACAGCACCCTTCCTGTTATGAATTAATGGAAATACTTAAGTGGTAAGGGAGTGTTCAGATTTACATCAATGTCTGTGAATTTGAAAGTTCTCCAGTTGTCCCCAAATCGAGAAAATAGGGTAAAAGAAAGCAAGAAGGTAGGGAAGTAAAGGGCCCACAGAAACACTGGACTCTACAACAAGATCTGGAGACTGTGGGGCAGGTGAGGGCACAGGGATTTGGGGTCTGACCCAGGTGGAAGAGCTCTCATCTGAGTAATGGTGACCCTCACCTCATGGGACCATTGAGGACAAATGTGCCACAAAGCTAAGGGTTCAATCGATAGAGCGATTCTTAGGATATGGAGCTAGAGAGTGGTCGCTGATAAAGGTGAACTCTAAGTTTCAGAAAATTTGAAAGGGGATAGTGGCGAGAAGCAGGAGGCTGGTGTGAGGGAAAGGATAAAATCACAGAGAAAGCCAATTTTCAGCCCTGACTTTTTTCTCCATTTTTTTTTTTATTGTGGTAAAATATGTGTCACACAATATTTGTCATCTTACCCACTTTTAGGTGTGCAGTTTGGTGGTACTAAGTATATTGTTGTATAAGTACATTGCTGTGCAATCATCATCACCATTCATTTCCAGAACTCTTCATCTTGCGAAACAAACTGTCTCCATTGAACAATAACTACCCATTCGCCCCTCTCCCAGCTCCTGGAAACCATTATCCTGCTTTCTAATTTTGACTCTTTTCGATACCTCATATCAGTGGAATCATAAAGTAGTTGTCCTTTTGTGACTTATTCCACTTAGCATGATGTCTTCAAGTTTCATCCACGTTGTAGCTCGTTACAAAATTTCTTTGTGAAGGTTGAGCAATATTCTATTGCATAGCTAAGACCACTTTTTGTCTATCCTTTTATCCATCTGGTGACACTTGGATTGCTTCCACTTTTTGGCTAGTGTGAATAATGCTGCCATGAACATGGGTGTATAAATACATCTTCAAGATTCTGCTTTCAATTATTTTTCGTATATAGTCAGAGGAGGAATTGCTGGGTCATGTGGTAATTCTGTTTACTTTTTTGAGGACCCTCCATACAGTAGCCGCACCATTACATTACCATCAACAGTGCACAAAGGTTCCAATTTCTCCACATCCTTGCTAATGCTGTTAATTGGTTTTTTTTTTCTTTTTATAGTAGCCATCCTAAAGGTTGTGAGCCCTGACATTTTCAAACGCAGTATTCAAATGGACACTAATAGGAAGCAGCTTTCCTCTTGGAAAAGAACCCCCAAAATATTAGTGACATCTGATAAAGTGAATTTTGTAAAAGGTGCATCTCCGAATCCCACTTCAGCCATATTTTTCCATATTTGGTTCCATACTGTGAAGCTTGTACTTCCATTCTTAGTAAAGGAAAGTTTCATTTCTGGAAATCCCGTTTTTCAAGCTTTTATTTTCCTTTGGAGAAAAATAAGTTTGCTGACCCGGAAGTTAGTCGGTCTTTCACACAGGTTTCTGTCTATGGAGCACTGTGTTCTTTGTTGAGCACAGAAGAGAGATACAGGATGGAAACATCGCAGGCTCTGTCTTGATCTCAGGTTTGAGTAGGAGAAAAGTCGCATACGGGTCAGGAACGGGAGGAGGTGGGGCCTCGGGAAGAGCGCCCTGCAGACAGCCCAGCAGTGGTGCTTAAGAGGTCTCTGTACTGCGCGCAGGCCTCGTCACCCCGAGAACACCTGCATTTTCCACACAGCCCCTCCGACCCCACCCCCACAGCTGGCCGCTCTCCCCAACCGCCTCTCCGCCCCGGAGCAGGGCCTAGGAGGGTGTGTCTCCGCAGTCCCCGTACCTGAAACTTGCCCAGCGGGTGCCTTCTGCTGCAGAAAGGCCCGGGCACAAATCCAGTGCGGGGACCGGCGCACACAGACGTGATCCGAGTTGCGCGGGGCCTGGCGCGGGCGACCCTCTGACTCCACGCACGCTTCGCCGAGAGCCCCTTCCGCCTATTGGCCTCCGGGGCCACAACCTCCCATGATGCCAGACGCCCAGACCGAATCAGGGCCCACTCCCGCACCGGGTTGGGACGCCAAACCCGTCCTTTCCCTGGGCCCTGGCCCCGCCCCTAGCGGCTCCGGCCCCGCCTCTTTCCTGAGCTCCGCCCTTCCCAGGTTCTGGCCCCGGCTCCGCCCCCCTGGGCTCTGTCCTCTCCTTCTCGCTCTGGCCCCGCCCCACCTCCGGCGCCCTGCGGACCACCGAGACGGCCGAGCCTCCAGGCCGCCCAGAACGGCCGGAAAGTCTGTGGGACGGAGCCGACGCGAGCATCGGGGCCCGTTTCCGGCGTCGCCGCGCGTTTCGATCCACCCGCGGTCCTCGGGGACGGTGAGTCGGGCGGTGGCCGCGCCCTCTGGCGGGTTGGCCGCAGCCAGTCCTCGCTTCTCCCCTCCTCTAGGGCTGTGGGTCCTGCGCTCCCCGGGCCTCTCAGCGGGAAGCTCGGGTGGCGAGGGAGGCTTGCAGAGGCCGTGAGCGCCTGGCAGGGAAGGTGGTCGAGCAGCGGCCGCCTTGTCCGGTGGAGGCGGGAGGCGTCAGGCCGAGTCCCGCAGGCCTGGCCGCGTGGTTAGCCTCGCTGCCCGCAGGCTCCAGCCGCGGCCTTCCCTCCAGCCTGCTCTAGGGGAATCCTTGATTCTCCTTCCTGCATAGCCACCCTCCTTTAGGGCCCCCGTTTTCCCTCACTTACTGCCCCTGGAAGAGCTAGACTTAGTGACAGCGGTAAAAAGACTGTGCCTTGGGTGCATAGGATTCTGGCTGCTGCTCAGGGCCTGCCGGTCTCTACTGGGGACCCAGGATGCAAAGCCCAAGTGGGGGCCCACCCGACAGTGGTCACTGTTGCCCGGCTCAGCCTCGCTGTGTGCCCACAGCCTGGGCCGTCCGCCCACTATCTACCTTTTTTGAGCCGAAAGCTCTACTGGGAAGTCTACTTTTCATTCTGACCTACTAGGGAGATACATAGGGGTGAGGGGGGGCGGCTGGAATTCCCGTATCCGCTCCTCTTTGCCCAGCGATGCGTTGTCAGGCTCCTGTCTACTCCAGCCTCTGTGATCCAGACCCACTAGCTCGTTCAGCCCCATGCTTTCCTGTCTCAGACCCTTTGCACATGCTGTTCCTGCTGCCTGGAGTGCCTTCGCCACCTCCATCATTTTGGCCTAGTTAGCGCCTCTGAGAAGTGACCCATCTGACTAAGTTTCCTAGTTGAAATGCTTTCAGAGTTCCTTGTATTTAGGTACTATCACAGTTGTAATTTTGCATTTATTCCTATGGTTACTCAGTTTTTTCCTCCAGTAGATTGCTTCACGAAGGCAGAGTGCTTGCGCGTTCACTGCTGCATCCTCATTGCTTAGTCCAGCACCTGGCACGCGTAGCAACCACCTCTTTAGTATTGTGGTACGAGTCACAAATGCCACAGGCTCTGAAAGATGAAGGAAGCCTCGGAGCAGACGCCCAAGTGCTGTGGCCTCTTTGCCCCCACCCTCTATGTCCCTGCTAGAGAACATCTGGGGGTGGAGGTAAAGGATTGGAGAACACAGTATCCCCTGGATTAGCCTGGAAACAAGTGTGGGAGGGCCTCCAGCATCCTGACCTCTGACCCTCATAACTGCCAACAGGTTTCTTGGCTAGGACGCGTGGATGCTCCCCAGCCGAGCCTCATGGTAGGAGTCTGCCTGCCTCGTTGCCTCCCACGTCCTGTGAGGGTCTCTGCCTCCTTTGGGTACACCCCCTACCCACTGGGCTTGGGCCTAGATCCTGCCTCGGCCCCTCGCAGCGGCCCTTGCCAGGCTCAGGCCCTTGCCTAAGACAGTGAACAGACCCCGGCCCGGACTGGGGCCTCCTGCGGCTCTCAGGGGAGGGTTGGAGGTCTCCATGGTCTGGGTCCCTCCACCTCCTCCGTGCCACCCCGCCCCTTGATTTTAGAGCCCAGGGGCCTGGTGACTCTCTCCCCCAGCCCTGTGGTGCGCATGCCTGAGACACCATGAGGCAGCGCCACAATGGGGCTGGCACCCGGGGATGCTGGCGTATGTCCTTTCAGGAGGCTGTGACGTTTGGTGATGTGGCTGTGCACTTCTCGCGGGAGGAGTGGCAGTGTCTGGACCCTGGCCAGAGGGCCCTCTACAAGGAGGTGATGCTGGAGAACCACAGCAGTGTGGCCGGACTAGGTGAGCCTGTACCTCGGGGCCCTCTCCGCTCTGTGTCATCCATCAGCGCCCACCTGCCAGGCATCTGCGAGAGGCTGGGGATATGGCGGCCATGCAGTCAAGCCCTCTCCGGCTATGGGGCCTTTGGGCCTGTGAGCCCGGGAGGGGTTGTGGTGAGCCGGGCGGGCTCTGACCTTTGCACACGGAACATGGTTTAATCCTCACGGGTAGGTGGACTTTTGGGAGGTAATGAAGCCCCCTTTTTTGTCTGGGCTAATAGACGAACTTGCTGTAGGAAATAGAATTCAAACTAGAAATAGCTTCTTTGTTCTCTTCCTTATTTTTCTGGAAGAATTTGTATAGATGGAATTAATTGAACCTTTTATGTTTTTGGCGGAACTCACCTGTACCACCTTCCTGGCCTAGGGCCCTTGGGGACAGAAGGTCTCACACCAGCATTTAACATTTTTTCATTTTTTTAATGCTTACCGGTCTGTCAGGATTTTGAATTTTTTCTTGTGTTAGTTCTGTCATTTTTAGTTTTCCTGTGGATCGATCTGTTTATTTAAAGTTTCAGCTTTTATAAATGGATTTGTTTACAATTCTCTTTATTTTTAAGTTCTATTTTTATGTTTCCTTTTCAAGAATTTAAATTCTTGGCAGGATCTTTTTGCCGTGTTTGTCCTCAATTTTTATTTATTTATTTATTTTTTAAGCGGGTCTCGATCGGTCTTGCCACAGGACTGCTGTGTTCATCTTTTCAAACAAGCAGCTTTTGGTCTTGCTCGGCGTTTTGGGTGGTGGCGGCGTGTGTATGTCTTTGTTCTCGGTTTCGTTGGCTCCTGCCCTGCCTTTACTATTTTTTTCCTCTTTCTTTATTTGGGTGTGCTGTACTGTTTTGTTCCCAACTTCTTGAATTTAATATTACCTCACTTGTGTTTTTACATTTTTACTTGTAGTAACTACTTTAAAATGTAAAGTTTTGTTTTTAAGCACTGCCTCAACTGCCTCCTGCAGATTTTGACTGCTAGTGAATATGGCTGCAACTTAGTGACTCATAACTTGGTCTCCAAGCTGATCATAGTTCAGAGATACCTGTTGCGGTCGCCTTGGTGTCCAGTTCCATCTGGGTTGGGTGCAGGCTGTGGTGGTGCTGTTCTGCGGCTCACACCAGGTCTCCCTCTGTTTCTCTGTGTGCTTGCAGAGAACACGTGTCTCCCGTCGAGTGTGGGGGTCCTGCCCACACGTGAGGCCCTTGACCTAGGGTCTCTCTGCCTGCCTTGCTCTACCCCCGTGGCCGGAAGCCTGAGGGACGCTCCAGCCAGAGGGCCCGTGGGTGGGCTGGGAGCACTCCACACTGCTGCCCCACAGCACGGGGCTGCTGGCCCTGGAAGATGGGTGCCAGGTGGGCACCCACAGGTCTCCACCACTTGCCTGCCTGCACAGGCTCCCAGGGCTTTGTGCGAGAGCGGGAGGCTGGGGGCAGCGGGGTGAGGATTGGACTTGAGTGCCTCTGACTGCAAATCCGTTTCATTTGTTGGCTGATTTTTGTTGTTGCTTTTGTCTTGCTCCCTAACCACCCCTACCCCTGGGAGTGTCCCTGCTCCCTGCAGTGAGGCGCATGCTGGCAGTGCCTGGCTTCTCTCTTCCTGGGGTGGAGCAGCCTATTCTTTGCAGACTCCTTGGTCGCAGGGTCCTCAGGGATCCTGGCCCTGAGGCATACGGGGATGGGCTGAGAGTCCAGGCATCCTTCGCTGTCCAGCCTCAGGAGCTGGACTGAGCCAGAGAGGACCGCCATGCCCAGACCCTCAGCCTCTGATGCTTTCTTCAGAGGCTCTGCCTGTGTCAGCAGCCTCTGGCCCTTTACTCCTGGAAACCAGGGGGTCTGAGCCCTGAGCTGCATCCCCAGCCACGCCAGTGTGGTGTCCTTCTTTGCCACCTTGACAGCAGGATTTCTGGTCTTCAAGCCTGAGCTGATCTCCCGGCTGGAGCAGGGGCAGGAGCCGTGGGTCCTCGACCTGCAGGGAGCAGAGAGGAGAGAGGCACCAAGGACCCCCCAGACAGGTGAGGCTGGGCCGTGTGGCCGAGAACCTGTGCCCGGCGAGGGCGGAGGGTGGGAGGCTGGCCGTGGACCCTGGGCTGCCTGTACACATTGGAGGCCACAGCCAGTCACAGAGCTGCCTCAGGAGTGATGAAACCGCAGGAAAGGAAGGACACAGAACTCCTGTGTGTTACAGCGGGACCACATCGTGTTCGATTTCTAATTTCACCACGACTCTTACTAAGCAGAGGTGCAAACACAGCGTAGGGGAAGCAGTAGGCTTGGTTCCGAGCAGCCTCAGGTGATCCTCGCCTTCCCTGAGAGCCCCCAGAACTTCTTGGGACCCCAGGTGACCCCAGCTCTCAGGTCAGGCTCCAGGGGTGCTCTGCCGAAGCACCGCAAACCGCAGGTTTGAGTCAACAGTCCTGGAGCCAGAGGCCCGAAGTCAAGGCTTCAGTAGGTCGTGTCCCTCCAAAACCTGTGGTGGAGGGACCCTTCTGCCTCCTCCAGCTTCTGGGTGCCCAGGTGTTCCTCGCGGCCGCACCACTCCAGCCCTCCGTTGTCACAGCACGTTATTCAGGGCACCAGTCATGTTGGACTCGGGCCTTCCCTACCCCAGTGTGGCCTCATCTTAACTCCATCTCAGCCTTCCTGTCTATAAATAAGTTCGTATTCTGAGGTCCTGGGCTGGAGTGTCAGCATACCCTTTTGGGGCACAGTCAGCCCACAGTGGGCATCTGCCTGCTTGTGGCATCAGCTCCTGTATCAGGGAGAGGCTGTTGCCTCTGGCCGTGTCTGAGCCCCCCTGGCAGACATGTCGCCCGCTTGGGTCAAGGAGGTGGGTTCGCACGCGTCTTGACCACAGAAAGGAAATCCTTATCCTCACTGCTGTGTCCCGGTCACTGCAGCAGCGCAGGGCCTGTCCCCGTATGCCACGTCTCTCGGGACGTCTGGAAGCAAATAGGAGAACCAGAATTGTGACAGTGAAGAGTTGCGCTCTGCCTGCCTCGAAGGGCCCAGAGGCTGCATCCTTAAAACAGGTCAGCGCGTCTCAGGCCTCTTCACACTGGTGTGCGGGAGGCAGCACGGGTGTGCGCAGGTGTGCGCAGGTGAGCGCAGGTGTGCCAGGAACCTTCAGCCCATTCTCCAGCATCTTTGGCTCCAGAATCGAAGGGCCTGCCTTTCTGTTCAGGCCCCTTTCTGACCCTTCTTGCGAAGAAGTAAAGGTGTCGCCCAGTTAAAAGCCAGTCCCCATCAAATATTTCCGGGTGGAGGGGAGATTTCAGAGTGGGCGCCATGGGGAAAAGCCGATGGGGTCGGCAAATTCTCTAGCTCGGGGGTTTCCATGCAGCGGATGCTCTTCGTAGAGACGAGACAGACCTAGAGCTGCTCACGGAGTCCCAGGGACGAAGGCGTGTGGAACACGTCAGAAACATGCCCGTGCCCAGAGACTTGGCCGGGCTGGTGCAGCAGATACCCCGGGATCGGCCCGGAGTGGTGGTAGGGGGCAGGGCCTGCGGCTGCCCCTGTCACAGCCACCACTGTCCCCAGAACGTGCACTGCCCTGCCCTCGCTACAGCCCCCGAGAGCTCCGTGCGCAGTGTCATAGCTAAAGTGGTAATGACCGCAACAGGGATTGAACTGACTCAGCCTCCATTTGTCGCGGGGAGGGGCTCCACA